TCTCTCTCTCTCTCTCTCTCTCTCTCTCTCTCTCTCTCTCTCTCTCTCACACACACACACACACACACACACACACACATGCACACACACACACATCAGCCTGTGAAGAATTCCACTCTCAAGGGTCTTTATTTTTTTTATTTTTTATTTTTGAACTTTAAAGGGATTTAAGGGGTTGTGGGTGGCAGGATTAGGCTTTCTGTGGCACAGCCAAATATCATTTTTTGTGGCCAGACGTGCTTGCAATACAGGGTCGGTACAGCTAAGTGAGGGTTTAAAGGGGAGAGGGAGAGAGTGGGTGGCAAGGGGCAGACCAATTTGGGAGGGCTTCCCCCAAATAGAACATACGGTCATTATTGCTGCATTTTTGGGGGCATGTTTCAGTCTTGATACAGCAATAATGACCATAAGTTCTGTTCTGCTGAAGACTGTAGCAAGCGCAGTTTCACTTGCTACCTCAACAACTTGGGGTAAGTACTAAGGAGGCCCTTTTTTGAGATTTGCAGAGTTCTGATCTGTCAATTACAAAATGGGGTAAGTACTAAGGAGGTCCTTTGAGATTTCCAGTACATAACAGAGCGGTCCTGCATGACTAGACCGGACCCATCTCTCCCTGCAAGGCCCTTATCCTGGGGGTGTGAGAGTCATTGCGCTGATGAAAGCCTTGAAGAGAGAGAGAGAGAGAGAGAGAGAGAGAGAGGTCTCTGAAGCTTGACCAGAATTCCAAAAGCACTACTGAAAACAAGAATGTATTTTTTCAGGATTCATCAGGAAAGAGGAACCCCAAAACAAAGAAGGGAAGAGGGTTCGCTCCGATCGTCCATGCGAGCTTCCATGCAAAGGCATAACAAGCATTTCATGCCGCAATCGAGTCGCCTGAAGAAGGGACCCAGACATCATATCTGGGCTGCATGCATCAGTCAAAGCAGTGCAAATATGCGGAAATGGGTGTGGTTATGGAATGTTGGTTAACATATTCAAATGTGAAACACGTATGGAGAGAGAGAGACAGAGAGAGAGAGAGAGAGAGAGAGAGAGAGAGAGAGAGAGAGAGAGAGAGAGAGAGAGACAGAGAGAGAGGGTGGGGGCAATGACGGGAGGCAAAGGTTGTTTGTCACCTGTACGCAGAGAATGAAAACATATCTGTCATGCACAAGGCATTTCTGGGTCTTCAAAACCAAGTGCTTTTTCAGGCACAAAAACTTCTGATCAAGGACAACGTTGCTGCCAGTGCTGTTCTGTACCTTTCTAGGAATCGCCGGACCTTGGGTGCAGCACTGCAAGCCTGATGCACACCTACCTTCTAAGCAGTAGACGTGGTGTGTGCATAAGGCTTGCAGTGCAGCTACATGGTGAACGGAGGATTCGCTTACCCTCTCCGAGCGCAAACTCACACTAGTACTTTTCTACTCGTTTCTGGATGTAATTGTTTCCAGATACATCCAGCTGTGGCCGTAATTGTGCTTAGATACATTTAAGATAGTGCTCGTGTGATTATGCTCTGATCTGTCTAAATGTACTAATTAAGCTTGGAGAGAAGCTGCTCCTATCAGCACCGCTAACACCGGCGGAGGCGTTTTTTGAAAGGAAAAAAAAAAGGGTTGGTCCTTCCCAGTGACCCCCTTTCACGACAGGCGGTGGTCCCCATCTTGAAGTCGTCAATTTGGGTGTCTCCAACCACGCAGTTGGATAAATAAAATATGTCGTGTCCATCTCGCCGCGGACTACTGCAGCGTCTCCTTCGCTATTGCGCCTGAGAGAACAAACAGTGCAAAGGAGCAATTCATTCGGTAGTGTCGCGGTCACCCATAAAATTAAGAAAGCCATCATTAAGGCGAATAAAGCAATAGCTTCAGTTGAAGCAAAACCTGAAACGGGTAGGGGTCAGAGGTGAGTCTCTGCCCTCCGAACCGTACGTGACAGTTCCCGTCATACAGCTCTCCATCAGCTTTCCGTCTCAATCGTATAACACTCCCAGATGGGCCAGCAAAAAAAAAAAAAGAAGCTGCCCACCTTTCTCCTGGCGTCCAATTGCACGCCTTGTTAACCACTCTCTCGTTCAGCCAATCAGTCATCAACAAACTTCTCTTCTCCGTACGACAGAGAAAGTGAATTACAAACAGAAATAAGGGTCGCCAACTGTCCTTCGTTCCTTTCTTCATTTGTCCAGCTGTCTGATCGCGATCTCTCCAGCCATCTCTGACTGTCATATATCCACCTGTCTGAGCATCGGTCCTCTAGCTGTCAAGACCTCCGTCTGGTGAGTCATCTGCCTGCTTGTGGCCGGACTGTCTGATTGACATCTGTGCAGTCGCCTCAGCTGTCCCACTGTCTGACCACAATCTGTACTGTATGGCCATCTGATTGCAAATTGCCCAGCTGTCTGAGGACCATATGCCCGGGTTTCTAACCACTATTTGTCCAGCAATTTGATCGCCATGTCTTTTTGCATTCCTGATAGCATCCACCCCACGAGCTCCACGTTGATGATGACAATGGTGATATTTTTGTTTGTTTTTTTTCATAGACAATACTATTTTTTCAATGATCCAGTTGCTTCCGTGTAATGGTGATTTTTTTGTCTTTTGTTTTCATCGACAACACTGCATTGTTTTCTCAATGGTGCAGTTACTTCTGTGTACTCGTTTGGCTGGAGAGGAAATTTGGTGGCAATATCTCCTGTCTGGAAAAAGAAGTGACATGTCACCGTACTTGCTGATCGGCGGCGCACCACTTCCACGTAGTCGTGGAAGGTCTTCGGCAGGTCGAACACATACAAGGAGAGGGAGGAGAAGTAAGGAGGAAGAAAGAGGAGGAGAAGGACAGAGGAGGACGAGGAGGAGCACGACAGTGGAGGAGAAGAAGGACACATCTGTCTCAAATTTACACTGAGGGCAAAAACCGAAGTGTTTACTCTCTCTCTCTCTCTCTCTCTCTCTCTCTCTCTCTCTCTCTCTCTCTCTCTCTCTCTCTCTCTCTC